AATCTGTTATGATACATAGTTAACAGTTTGGGAAGTCTGTTATAATACATTTTTAACAGTTTGGGGAGTCTGTTATAATACATTTTAACAGTTGTGTCTTTTCGGATATGACGCATTGAAACAGCTGAGCATGTGAAATACGTCATATCTGAAAAGACATATACTACTGATTTCGAAAACCTAAATCCATTGTTAGTTGCCCATTGCTGTAAGTTGTTTAAGCAAAGCTGCAACTGACGCTCAATCGTCTGCATGTTTGTAGAGCCATAACACATTAACATACAGAGAGCCATCAACCCCCCGTCTAAGGCACAACGTGATGGAATTAATTTTAATAGAGAACAGGGTAACGGATGATATGCTACCCTGTGGAACTCCATTATCCTGAGGAAAAGGATCTGAAAAAATGGAGCCAAGTCGAACCTTAAACGTTATATCATGTAGGAAATTGGAGATGAATAATGACAATCTTCCTCTGAGACCGAAGTCAAAGAGATCACGAAGAATGCCATATCTCCAAGTGGTGTCATAAGCCTTCTCCAAATCAAAGAATATGGCTACAAGATGTTTATTTTGGATGAAGGCATCCCTGACAAACGATTCAAATCTAACGAGATGATCAAGAGTGCTCCTTTTGGGTTCCGAAATCCACATTGGAGGTTGGTAAGAAGATTGTTTGACTCAAGGTGCCAAACGAGCCTTCGATTGATCATTCGTTCCATGGTTTTACAAATGCAGCTGGTTAATGCAATAGGGCGGTAATTAGTAGGATTCGTAGGATCTTTACCAGGTTTAGGAATGGGTACAATGGTAGCGATCCTCCAAGATGGAGGAAATACACCGTCATCCCAAATCTGGTTGAATATACATAAAAGTTTTTTTAATGTTGGGTAAGGGAGATGTTTTAGGATCTGATAATGTATATCGTCAGGCCCAGTAGCTGTATCACGAGCCTGTTTCAAAGAAAACTTTAATTCCGAGATCGTAAATTTATTATTATAATATTCCTCGTTTTTTGATGCAAAAGTAAGTCTTTTCCTCTCTTCCTGGAGTTTCACTTTCCGAAAAGCATCCGAGGAAAAGTTAGAGGAAGAATTATAAGAAAAATTATGGCCTAAGGAATTAGCAATATCTAGAAGAATAGTGAGAGTTGAACCATCTACCTCTAGATGGTTCACAGATATTGTATCCGCTTTACCCTTGATCCTACGAATCTGTTGATCCTTGAAACATACTCCTGCCATGACGACCTCTTTGCTTGGCGGATAGTCCGCTTGGCTTTCACCCGTGCAATGCGGAAAGAGGCCATGTTGTCAGCGATAAGAGAACCATCTGTAGGTATGTAACAATTTTCGCCGACGAATTCATTAATCTTTTTAAGTAGATCAGTTCCTCCTCTGCCAACTCTCGATCTTTTTATTTCTTGGAAATTGTCTTTCATTAAAATTATTTTTCCTGTAAAATACCAATCGGAAGCATCGGATTTTTTGTCCATATTTGAAAAGATATTGTGAAAGGTTTTGGCATTGAAACCGAGGAGTGACATGTATTGTCTGTGATTCCCTTCCTCGACTATCTCTCCATCTATTTTAATTTGTACTTTGAATGTTTTAAATTTATCAGAGATAGCCTTGATCACATCGGAAAATAGGGCGTTTTTTATCAATGTTTCATCGTCTGCAAGTTCGATTTTATTCATATTTTTTTAAGTATATATTTTTGATTATTTCTTTATTTTGACCGCTGATATTTCTGTATGGAATTTGTCCAAAATTTCATTGAATTCTTTTAATTCTTCAACTGTTATGTTCTTGTCTTCTCTCGATCTTTCGAAAAAGATGTACAATTGATTAAGATACATATTCAAGATATCCGTTTTCTTTTTATAATGAGCTTTCTTTTTGCTCGTGAAACCTAAAGTGATGAGACCGCAAGAAGTCGTTTTACGGCTGTTAATGCAGCCAATACGGTTGGGACGATGACTGGAAGCATTAATCCACCAGTCACGGCCGTTGCCACCGTTACTCCTACCGTTAGAACTGTGCTCGCTGTTTTGAAAAAAGAATCGATTCTACTCCATGTTTTCCTGCATGTATTGCACTGTCTCAACTTTATTTTCAACTCTTCTTGTTTGTCTATCATGTATTGTTGTCTGCTTTCGAGTTCCATTTTTTAAGTCGTTAGATTAAGTGAATTTCCGATAACTAAAACCACGGAATATCGTATAGAAGGGCCTTGGTTGGCTTATCATTATTATATTCGCGGGTATTAAAAGTAAAAACATTTACGCGTACTAACGACATTTCTTTTTTCGTATGGTCCTCTTTAAGATGATAGGGATATTTTATTTTTTCTTTTTTGATGTTAATCTTGGCTCTACAAATATAACCACCACCACGAAGGATGTAGTTGGTACCTTCGACAAACGTTAAATGTACTATAAACTCTTGTTCTTGTTGACTTTTATGAACATCGATCGAGGTGTATTTTTCACCAACACCTAAAACAAAAAACAGTTTTACGTATTCAAAGTCTGTTGTTCGTAAAAACTCGTGACTGCTCGATTCTATTGGTGGGTGTTTGTTTATTCTAATCAAAAATGGAATTTTGACAATGTTGCTTGATGGTGGATTTTCCGTCTTCAATATCATATCCAAATCTTTGATTCCAATGATATCCTTAAAATTTTCTACTTCTATTTTAAAGGTGTCTACATATTTACCATTTTTCGTTTCAATTTCCTGATCCCTTTTATCAATCAAACGTATATTCTCTTCCAAATTACCATCATTGAATAATGAAATATGTTTGACGGCATTACCGGTTTGTTTGAAGACTATTTTATTGACTTTAACCTTCATGGGAAACTCTATTTGAATCAGACAATTACCTCGAAAAGTAAACCATTGCGTTTCGCCGATATCGAATACGTTTTTAGGTTCTCCGTCTATGAGAGCACCCACTTTTATTTCTGCTTTGAATCCGTATTTGTTTGATTTACAACTTCGGTCTTTTCTATCGAAGACGGTGTCACTTTCGAATGGAAGATTGAAATAATACGATTTGTCCGTGACAATAGCTTCTAATTTGCTCAACTTTTTCTCTTGTCTCAAAAAATCGTCATGAATTCTAGATACCAAAAGATTGACCTGATATTTTTCATATCATCTCGAAATTTATTTTGAAGAAAGTTTTTAATCACACCCACTTCTTTTTCTAATTCGTCCGTGATTTTAGTATCCAAAGCAGTCAATTGTCGTTTCAACGTATCTTTGTCAATGGGAAGGGTGTTAATTATATCTTGAACATCTGATTTTTGCTTCGCGATCTTTCGTCAAA